TTTCTATAATAAAGTTATTTATTTTTTCGCAAATTATTTACATTTGAATTATTTATTTATTACATACATATTTGAACTATACATATTCGAATTTTCAAAATTTCGTTACAACGAAATTTCCGTTATAACGAAAAAAAAATGTGGTCCCTTGGAGTTCGTTGTAACGAGAACTTACTGTATACATAAACAGATTTATATAATAATATTTCAAAAGATATGACTGTGTAATAAATATTTTAAATAGTTTATGCGGTGCTAATTTTAAACCTGGGAGTGCTAAGCACCCCCAAGCACCCCCCTATGTGCGCCTATGGTTACAACAAGTTCGTTATTGTCATTTGTCGCTGCAGGCGCACTCCTACTCATCGTCGTGAACACGGCCTATATAGCTCACGGCGGTTTTCGCGTCACACCGTTCGTTTCATCGAATTGCTGTGTTGTTGCAAGCCATCCATGATGGATCGAGAAATCATGCAATGTGGACCCGAGCCTGCGAACGGTGTCAACGCGCCAATAAGTACACAAATACATCACGACGTCCATGATGCATCACGCGGAGTGACGCTTCGATCACATTCAACTATGGGCCGGTTAGGTAGCTGGTATAACTGCGTATAGCGAGACTCCATCACGAGACAGCTATAAATAGGATACTCAACGCACTACGTTCGTGTCCATCACAGACCTGCAGAGCCGGGTCAGTCATGACGGTGTTTGCCTGATCGACCACCGGTCCGACCCAGTGGCGTATTTTGGTTGATTTCTCGGGGGGTGTCAACATTTATTGAACCTCAAAAACAAAATGTTTAGTATTATTTACTAATGTAAAAAGACATTGAATTAATTTTTTAACAAATTAATATGTTATAGGAATTGACAAGAAGTTTTACATTTGATAAAAATAGTATACTATAAAATAAGTGACAACACTAATGTCCAATATATTAAGACTTTTTTTTTTAATGTCGGGGGGTGTCAAGACATGGAGAACACCCCCCTAAAATACGACACTGGTCCGACCACGTTACGAGCGCCCACTCGTGGTATACTCATCTAGTATACTCATCTAGCTGAGTACAGATGAATCATCTAAATTCATTATTACTTACCGGAAGGTATGAATAATTTCCATTTACATCATCATCGCAACAAGATTATATAATAATCTACCACTTAAACGGATATGTTTTATTTGCAGCTTATACTATAGTTATATTTGCACAGTGCAGGGTATTATACGGCAGACTATCCTTAGTTCATAAGATGTTGGACAAGTGGTACTTAACTCAAACAGTCAAACAAATAGATATAACAACCAACAAGTTTACCCATTGCGGTATCTCACGAAATAATGAAGATATAAAAATTCTGGTTTCGTAATAAGACTTACAGGGAAAAGAACTACAATTATTTCATTTTTTAATTTATTATAATGTTTTGGTAAAAAAATTAAAAGATATATTTTTTTATATAATTATTTCTAAAAAAAAATAAGATAGCCATTTTGTAGAGTTTATTTTTCTGAAAATATTGACGTTTCAAAATTTTATTTTCATTCATTTTCTGATTTTTAATATTTTTTAGAGTCTTGAAGAAATAAAAATACATGATTATAACTTTATAACTATTGGCACACTGAAAGTGTACGGCCGGCAGTAAGAGAACGCGCTTGGCGCGGCATTTCACATATTTGATAACATTATGGTGTTAAATCATACTCTGCGAGTTTTCTCGAAACTAAAAAAAAAAAATCAGGAAATTAACAAAATTAAAATGTTGAAATGTCAATATTTTCAGAAATATTTGGAAATAATCATGTATAAAAATATATTAAATAAAAATTTTTTTTAACTTTTTTTACCAAAACATTAAAATATGAAATAATTGTAGTTCTTATCCCAATGAGTCTTATTACAAAACCAGAATTTTTACACCTCCATTATTTCATGAAATATCGCAATGGGTAAATCCTTATGGGACATCCTGTATGTAGAGGCTACATCTATATTCATATATCAGTATATTATATATAATATTATTACTGTCTACTGATCTTAAATTCCATACTATGAACATCTAACGTATTAAATTTACCAAAGACTAACCGAAACTTTACCCAAAGGACATAAACAATAAACATAATATAAACATTTACACGTCAGACGTCTAAGCCCACAATGTATATAATTAAAATTATATACGCTGCAATAATATTATCTACATAATATGTGTCTATGCCTTTACCTGCAGACTACGCAAGTACTTATATAGTACTTACTAGGGCAGAGGACGTGTTGTATAGACATTCCATACTTCCATATGCAACAAGTTTTTAAAATTAAAATGTGTAATGTGTTGTATACTCTTTCAAAACTGCGAAGGACTTACACTGTGGGTGTATTTTATAAGGCCTACCTATATCCTATATAGGTATATAATCTGCTCGCACACTAATATTGTCCTTCCATTATATTGTATTATATTATAGTCAATTATTATTAGCTCGATTATTGTTTGTTAGTATATTATTTCTGACCTTATAAAATAAGCATTTCAATTTCTTACTTGTACTGCAGTATTGTCCTTAAATTATGCGAAGTACTTTCTTGTTTCTAAATTCTAATTGAAATATACATAAGACTCAATGTCTCAATGTATTTTCTAATATTATATTAAATAATATAATTTTGCTATATTTCCTGGAAAAGTAGGTACCTATAAGAGCAACTACGCGAGTATTTATAGCTTATATGATTTTTTAGATTAGTTAATTTCGAAAAGGAGATTTTGAATTATTAATCGAAATAGTGTTATTAATGAGACAAATTTTTAAATAGTTAAATAAAATAATATGCTTATTTCATGAGAAAAAATGTCTTAATCATAAATTCATGAAATATTTTTGTTGAAATGTTATCACTAATCAATTAACCACAATTACCACATTTTTGTATAATCTTGGTTAGAGATAAATATTGCATTTTTGAAGTTACATAAATTAAAATAAAACGTATTGATATTTTACCGTTCTCCTATTTCTGCCTTCTACCAGAAGCTTTAATTTAGTGCGTACAGTTGATTGTACATATTTAATATAGGCTACATCAGTGATTCTCAACCTTTTAAAGAGACAATTCAATATTTTTGCGATGCATACAAATATTTCTTTCCAATGTACATATAATATGTGATAGGTACCTATATAAAATAATGTTAAAACATGTTTGGTGAATTAATATAATACTAGCTAGTTTGAAGACTTCTAAGGGGTTGAATATTATAGTGAATATTCAAAATATTATATCCCTTGCAAGCCATTACTCACCTAACAGTGGCGTACCCAGAATTTTTTTATGGGGGGCACACACTGACTAAAATTATATCATATACACTAGCTACCTACTACCAAAAAGAAATCAAATATTTAATGTTTTTAATGCAAATAGTTTATTTATATTTTCAGTCAGTCATTAAGTTATTGTATATATGTATATATACACACTTAATAATAAATAGTGATTTAATAATAAAAATKGGTTAGTCCAAACAAAATTATAAGTGTATAAAAACAATAGTAACAATTGTATAAAATTATTTTGACCAATCTACAGTTGCAATTTTCTTGGTGCTTTTTTTGCAAAACCTTCAATGATTTCAGTTTCTGAATGACCTATTTTTTATTTATGTTTACTAAAGTTAATCCATTTAGTCTATTTTCAGTCATTGTTGATCTTAAGTATGTTTTCAGTCGTTTTAAGATAGACAAATTACGTTCTGGCGTAGCTGTTGTAACAGGAAGAGTTGTGAATATATTTTGTAAAAGCAATTTAATATTAGGGACAATAACTGTACAATAAGGTGAAGTCTCAAAAGCGGTTTGAGGTTTATTCACTGTGCTATTTTGTCCATTGCCTTTACATTGATTTTGCCATATACCTAGTATATACCTACATAATTCAGCCTTTAATGTAACAATTGTATTTAATGGAAGATCATTTTCGAATATTAAAACAGAATATCCATTGGTAAAAGCATATTATTGTAGCACGCGTTCGTGTATGCGAATAAATTTAAATCATTAAAATAAAATCTAGTAAATACGGCCAACGGAGGGGGGAGCCATGGCCCCTGTGCCCCTCTCTCCTAGGATACGTAACTGCCACCTAACGATTAATAGATTCAATAATACATATATATGATGGTTAACATTGTTTTTAATAATATAGGTAAATAGGTAATATTTTATATCTTATGAATCTATTTAAATAAATAAAATTAGAATATTTGTACTTCGGAAAACCTTGTAGTATACATTGATTTGTAGCGTAGTATTAGTATTCTAGTGAMTACAGTGTAACTGCAGTGCGTAGGTAAGTATAATATATCTGATATAAATTACTTAATTAGCTATTTTTAGGAGGGCGAGGTATTAGATGAAAAGAAGAGTTATAACTTTTATAAGTTTATCACCCTAGGGCCTAGGGGATAATATGGAAACATCTATCAATTATATAATCACAATAATAATCTAAACTATAAAAGTACATAATATTATTATAATTTGAGGCAGCGTTAACAAAAAATATAAAAAAATATAGGCACTTTAACCGTTATTAAATAATATACCCACTTACCTACTTTACACATTACTAATTGGTATATTTACCTCATAGTCCAAACAGTGATAATATCTGGTCTAAGAGACATTATCTATACATTTATACTTATACATATAGGACGAATATATATACAAAGATAGTGTGATTAATTTGGAAATAAACACCCATTATAAAAAAATTAACTTTTGTAATATTTGTTTAAATTTAATTTATAGCCTCTATATAAATTCACATTAGTTTTCCGATGTATTTCTTTTATTTATAAATAAAATTTAATAAGAGATAATCTCAATGAGATAAATCATATGGAATTACATTTCATGCATTTCTTTCCAGAGTACCTAGAATATTTTAAAATATTTGTAAATCTTAAAATACTCATAATTTGCTTTCAATTTAAAATATAATAAAAATACAATGATATTCCCTAGATAATAAATTTTTCTTTAAATTGTATAAAAGGTCAATTCGCTATAATTTTTAAACGTAGTTAAATGTGCACTGTTGAGCGTAAAATTTGTAATGTGAAACACTTATAAAGTTGTAAGACACAACAAATATTGTCCGTTTAGTTTATTCTTAAGCGAATATTATTGTGGAACGTCTCCCACGACTGAAGTATAACTAACAATTATGTTCATGATTTGGGTCATCATTCTGAGTTGAAAAGAACATTTTGGCATATTTTAATCAAAATGCATGTAAAGTTTCTGAGAATTTATTTGATCAAAAGAATTCAAAGATAATGGAGATCTTTTTTTATAAGTCGTACACTCATAAAACTACTTTATAGTTATAAACTGTAGACATGATTGGTTAGTAAAAAGAAAGATAGTAGCCAGTAGGTTTGTGGACTGTGGTTGTACCTACATTATTTTATTTAATGTTCATTCTCATTACTCATTAGCATTTATAGAACTTGTAGTACGAGAATGCGACGCGTGTTTGCCGTGTAACCGTGAATAGATACAACAATTTATATTTTCACGTGATATTTAGAGTAAAATGTTAATATAATGAAAATATAAACAATTTTGAAAAATTGTGAAAAACTCTAAGTTGTGACAGTTGTGCAAAACTAAGAAAATTTAATGAAGCATTTTTTATTGAAGTTTCCAAAACTGATGGTAAAACTTAGTTTCGTTCGTTTCAATTTATTTTTACATAAAAACTGTTTCATGTGATACATAAAAAGAGATTTATTATAAAAACACATGCAGTGTTAATTTGTAGACAGGTACACAGATAATTTTTTATACTTCATAAAATGCATAATAGTATTATATAGTATTACATTTTACAACCAGTATACTATATGAAAGCATGAAAACCTAGACATTTAATTATCTGATTAGATAGGTATAATAATAATAATAATACTATAATAGTTATTTTATGTTGTTTTTTATAAACGGTACTTAATACGCGTATTGTCACATAATACCTTTTTAACAGTAAAAAAAAGTATAATAAAAGAAGTGATTAATTCATTATATTGCGAGCGATTTTCAGTACCTAAGTGGCGTCAGTCAACAACTAAACAGACAACATCCAAGTATCCAACAAACAACAACCAACATATTGATAATTGATAATTTAATTTTTTTCATCTACTATCACACCAAAAATCTGCATTCCGGAATAGGAAATAGGACACTGCTCGTGTTGTTATTAATTGCAAACTTAAAGTAGTTATGCAATGGTAAATATAGGTATGTAAATAATATAATATAAATAATTTCGGTAATACATGACGTATAGTTGCATAAAAATAAAT